CGGTTTGGAAATGTGCACACCTGTGTACCAAGAGGTGCAATTGGAGAGACCCAGCTTCCCGCCATGGCCCCGTTCGTGATAATAGTCACCACCTTCCAGATCAGGCAGAGCCGGCTGGCCTACAGCTCAGCCAGGGCCCCAAAGGACCCGAGGCCCTTTGTGCAGGAGTGTGGAAAGAGATTCACTTTTCTCTGGGTTGAATTTTAAGCACACAGATAACACATCCTTTTCCTTTGAAAAATCAGAACATTGCATTTAAACTCTCATGACCTTGACCCCCCTCCCAGTCCCACCTCATCCCTTCCAAAAAGGCGATCGCTGTGTACCCTGCCATACATTTTCTCAACTTTCTCTTTTACACCCACATGCAGGAACCCATAGAAACCTGATAGCCTGGTTCTGTGAGGCTTGATTTTACCCAAATTGCATTCTACTCCACGTGTGCTATTGCACACGTCCTACTGCACGCGTCCTACTGCGACGTGCTTTTTCCACTCCGCCGTGTGTTCTTGGGGCTTCACCTGAGTGTTGAAATAGCCAGAGATCTAAGTCGTTCCTTCTTCTGGCTGCTTGTACACTCAGTGGACATGCACTTTTTGTTTTTTTAGGCTTTCCCTTGTTGTGGGAGATTTGGGTCACTGTAGACCCAAATCCTGCTGTCAACATCCTTGTTCATGCCTCTTGGCGCTCGTGTTTGTTTTTCTTGGGAACATACGACTTGCCAGGTCATATGGTGTGAAAGTTTCAGTTTAAATAAACAATGGTAATGTGCCCTTCAAAGTGGCTCCGTTTGCCTGTTCTCCCGCTAGCAGTGTTTGAGAATGCCGGCTTCTCCGTGTCCTCACCAACACCTTTCTTTTCCCAGTCAATGGGTAGAAGGTTGAGATCTTGTTTAAATTTTTTTCTGGTTTTCTTGTGAGGTTGAACACGTCGGTGTGTGTTCATTGGCTGTCTCCATTCTCTTGTCTGTGAATGGCCTGTGGGAGTCCTTCACGTTTGCTGCAAGATCTTCTGGCTCCTGGAGATATTTTCCAGTTGTTTCCCTGAGTCTGTAAAGTCATTTGTTTTATGTAAGTTTCAATTTTGACGTAATCAGTTTCCCCATCTCATATTTATTTTTTGGTACATGTTGATTCTTTCTTCTTTTTTAAAGAAACTCTTCCCTGCCCCTGAGATCACATGGAGATTGTCCTGTATTGTCGTCTGGCGATTTGCTGAGAATTTTTAAACTAGAATCCTAGGCCCTACCCCTTTGGAACTGAAGTTGGTGGGGGAGGACCCCAGTGGATTCGGATGTTCAGTGAGATCTGGGCGGCACCAGTGTGCAGGCCACAGGCCACTCCTGGGAGCCAGGCAGGGAGGCTCATGAGGCTGTCACACACCCTGACAGTCCTCCCCATGTCCCCACATCCCTCCTAGTACCTCAGCACTGGCCAGGCTCCTCTGTCTTAGAGCAAAATCCAGGATGCCCGCATAAAGGGACTAGGCATAGGTCTATTCTATGGGCAGGACGGGGTTCTGTTCAGTAGGCCTTCCTTGGGTCCTCCGCCACCCAAGACACTGTGGCCATCCAGAGATGAGCAGAAGCCCTGTCCCCAGGGCTCCTGTCCATAGCCAGCGTGAGAGCAGCCAAGGCCCTAGGTGGGGAGGGGAAGGAGTTTTCTGAGATGACATCAAGAGGCCCACAGATGAGCACCCCCCCACCCCCCACCCCCGCAAGCCTTCCCTGGTCTCCCAGGAGGAAGCCTCCTTTGTTTTTCCCTAAATGCTCCAAAGCTTCTGAAAAGCCAGAAGCTCCCTCACTGCTGAGATCCTGCTCCCTGGGGACGCTTGCCTTTTGGTTTTCTTATGAAATCCCTGATGGGGGTTTGATGTCTCAATTGCATTTCTAAAAGTTGTTCCCCTTTGGGATTTTGTCCTTCCTTTTTTTGTTCTTAGTGATGGAGGTGGTGGGTCTTTTTTCCCCCCTGGTGCCTTTAAGGTGCCCGGGCTTTATGAGGGGTGGCCTACCTACAAAGCACATTGACCCCTACAGGCATGGCTTTCCTGCTTTCCCTGGTCACACCCTCAGGGGCCTATCTCATGTGAAGGGGAGCGACGCTCCCCTTCATAAAGCATCCTTTATGGTTTTGCTTTCTATTTAAAAAGGTAAGAGGTTGTGCTTGAGGAAAATGTGTTAAGTTCTGAGTAAAGAAAACATGCTGGTAGGAGTGAAGAGGCTGTCTTCACTTCTGATTACAGAGGGCTACCTATCTTCCAGTAGGGCACTCACTGGACATTCTGGATGACATAATTTTTAGAAATCTTTGAAGGTCCGTGGTTGGGAAAGGGTGGAAGATTCCTGCCACAAAATAAGAAGAAAACACCACCCAGAGAGTTAATCCTGCCTGATGCTGGTGTTTGCCAAGGTGCTGCTGGCCATCCCAGGCGGGCAGGCCCCAGGCAGAACACACAGAAGGATGGTGCCCTTAAAAGCCCAAAGGGTGCACCAAAAGACGTCCCCATGAAGCTCCAATCCCACACAGATTAGCCTTCAGATTGTTAAACTGAGTTGTATTTGTGGAGGCTGTGCCGAGAGAGGAGAGAGACTTACCTGTCCTCTATAGGTCTGAAGGAAAAGTAAAAATCGGGATAGGGGTGGAGTGTGGTGGAATCCTTGGGGAATACCAGAGCCCAGGTTTGTCATCATCTGCGTTTGGGGCAAGGATTTCTACTCTCTGTGTTACCTTCCATCCCCTCCCCCACCCACCCATCGCCCATACATCTAAGTCACATACTTGGTTACAACGCTGTTGATAGACCTCGCTGGGGTGACACAGGTGTCCCACAGCTGGAATGCAGTGATGTACAGCTGTAAATGTGCCAAAGCTCCCAACTGTCCACTTAAAAATGGGTGTATAAATTATGACTCATTCAAGCTTCCCAAAAAAGCCACCTAGCATTCTTCTAATCAGAAAGTCTTCATGTTTCAGTTCTATTTTCTGCACTTGCATTTGCTTTGTGGGGATACTTGTTGTTTTTTTAACATAGCAAAATCACAATGATACAATTTTTTTTAAAGTTTTTATTTATTTATTTGACAGAGAGAGAGAAAGAGGTCACAAGTAGGCAGAGAGGCAGGCAGAGAGAGAGGAAGGGAAGAAGCCTCCCCGCCGAGCAGAGAGCCCAATGCAGTGCTCGATCCCAGGACCCTGAGATCATGACCCGAGTCGAAGGCAGAGGCTTAACCCACTGAGCCACTCAGGCACCCACAATCATACAATTTTTATCCTTCATTTCAAATTCTGAAGTCTTTTCCAACATCATTGCAATTATTTATAAATAGGATTTTTTCAACTTGGGTTTTTAATAGGTACTTGTTTTTTTAAAGATTTATTTATTTTAGAGAAGGAGAGAGAATGCACTCGAGTGGGGAGGGGCAGGGAAAAAAATCTAAGCAGACTCCCTGTTGAGCATGGAGCCCAACATGGAGCTCGATCCCAGGACCCCGAGATCATGACCTGAGCTGAAATCAATAGTAGGCTGTTTAGCTGACTGAGCCACCCAGGTGCCCCTAGAAGATTTTACTTTTTTTTTTTTTTTAAGATTTTATTTATTTATTTGACAGACAGAGATCACAAGTAGGCAGAGAGACAGGCAGAGAGAGGAGAAAGCAGGCTCCCTGCGAAGCAGAGAGCCCAATGAGGGGCTCGATCCCAGGACCCTGGGATCATGACCCGAGCCGAAAGCAGAGGCTTTAACCTACTGAGCCACCCAGGCGCCCCTAGAAGATTTTACTTTTAAGTAATCTCTATACCCAGCATGGGGCTCAAAACCCTGAGATCAAGAATCACATGCTTCACCAACTGAGCCAGCCAGGCGCCCCTGGTTTTTAATAAGTACTTCAAAAGTACGTCTTGAGTACCTTCTCATTTAAAAATAATTTCAAGGAGTACAGTGGTATATGGTACAAACATTTACATTCTCCCACTGATACCCCCACCCCATACATGCAGTCCCACCGTCAGTTCTCACTTCCCTCTCCCTAGGCAACCACTGTTCACAGTTTGGTTAAACATAATTTTTAAGTGGGCATATAAGTTTTCATGTGATGGGGGGAAAATCATAACATTTTCCCCTATTTGGGGACATTTAGGTTGTTTCCTGTTATGGCTTTTTTTTTTCTTTTCTTTTCTTTTTTTAAACATTGGGGCAGAGGATTCCATTGGAGCAAATACAAAGCAAGCCATAGATTACGCGGTCCTGTGTTCCTCTGGTGATTGTCAAAGCCATCAAGGATAGGCACTAAATTAGATATCAAATTAGGGGGTAATTTCCAAGTAAGAGAAGGGGCCCAGAATACAGTAAGGATTCTATGTTAAATGCTTTACCGATCTGTTCTCTTTTAAAGCACCAAAGATCTCAAGAGAAAGGAGATCGTTCCCATGTTACAGGTGGAATACTGTGGTTCACGGGGACCTTGCCCAAGATCACACACCATAGAGTGCGAAACTCAGCTCTGAGTTGCCAGACACCAGACTGGAAGCTTGATGGTTCTGTAACCAAACAGGAGACTCTTGTTTTCCTATCTCTGCTTAATTTAGGCAAATACCATCGCAGCCACCAACCAACATTCATCTGCAAGGAAGCACTGAAATGTTACACGGATTCTCACTTATTGTTGTTTTTAGCTACAGTTTGAGCGCCTTGTGTTTAGTAGACGTTGTACTAATTGCTGTATGTACTTCATTCACTCGTCACCTTGAAAGGGGTGGGCATTATCCCCATTTACCAGAGGAGGAATGTGAAACCCAGAAAGGTTAAAAAAAAAAAAAAAAAGTTGCCCAGTATGACTCAGAGGCGGGGGGTGGGGGACTCAGTCCTCGCGGTGTATAACTCCAGACCCGAGCGCTGACCAGACTCTGCGGCCCACCAGACCACAGATCCGCCCTCTAGCCTGTCTCCATCAGGCCGGGCCACCAGACAGCACCTCATTTTGTTCTTCCTCTTCCTACCCCCAGACAACAGCGACCTGATTGCGTGCACAGTGATCACCAAGGACGGCGGCATGGTCCAACGATTCCTGGCGGTCGACATTTACCAGATGAGCCTGGTGGAACCCGACGTGTCTAGGCTCGGCTGGGGAGTGGTCAAGTTCGCCGGCCTCCTGCAGGTATGACGTCCGAGGCCTCCGGAAGCTCTTCTTGGTCAGCTCTAGACCAAACTAATTTCCGAGGATACAAGGAATATGTGAACAGACCGTCATTGAAAAAAAAGTTGAAATACTGCACAGATAAGGGTCAAGTGTTCTTTGACCCAAACCCTCGGTTCTTTAAACTTTCTCCTGCGTGGTCGCTATGGTCCTTCCAGAGCTGGTGCTCCCCCAGATGCACATATAAATACAGCTACACGTACTGTTTATAAACATGGTGCACACATACTTGAGAGGATGTGTGTGTGTGTGTGTTCTGTAGTGTCACATGGAACACATTCTAAACTTTCTTTTTCATTCAATCCATGTCTTAGAGCTAACCGTGTTAGTGTACGCAGACTCCCTAGTGTTCTTTAAACTGCTGCATGACCACACAAGGCATAATGACGTCGGCCAGCTTTTTTACTTCTACAAACAGTCCGCCATGAACAGAACCATCCTTCCTTCTCGAGCAAGGGTTCCCCTCGGTGGCTCTCAAGAAGTTGGGGTGTGCCTGTTTTCACGGTTCGTAGATGCTGCCAAACCCCTCTCAAGTGATTGTCATCACCAGCAAGGCACGAGAGTCCCCTGGCCCTCACTCCCTTTGTAGCAGAGATGAGCTCTAAAATGCCAAAACACTAAGTTGGGACTCGGGTTTTCTTAATGTGTGTCTGTCTGCTGGGTGACTAATGCCAGCTCGTTGACTGAAGGGAATGAAGAACCAGGCGGGGACAGCCTTCCAGCTCCTGTCCCCTGTTAGAACCCCCACTCCCCGAGCATCCAGCCGGCTCTCCCTGGCCTGAGGTGTGCCTGGCTGCGAGGGAGTCTCTGGTCGCTGGCAGGGTCTTGCTCAGGCCTGCTGTAACGTCTAGCCCTGCATGGTATGATACACGGGCAACATCCCACTGTCTTAGGGAGCCACCCATGTATTTGAAGAGGCTATCGGAACCTCCTCTTTTTCCAGATCTTTCCATGTAAAAAATGTCTTTTACAGAGAATGATGTGAGAAACTATATGAAGAATGTTTCATTTTAAAAAAAGACTCCCGTGTAAGAGGCTGTCCGTTAGATGACTTAGTGCTTCTTATTTATCTAGACTTAGGATCAATTTCCTTTAGAATTTAGTGTCAGGAAAGTGTTTTCCTCCATCGAAGGATTAATACATGTCCTCCATCAGACAATGAAAGGCACATAAACCTTTCCTTTTGGTCGCCTTCCAGGAGTTACTATTTATTTGTCAGGCACATTACTGTGTGCCAGGTTCTCCGCTTTCAATGTGTAACATCTCATCTAATCCCCACGCAACATTCCAAGGCAGATTTTCTTTCCAAAGAGCCCGTGTCAGACTTCATGCTTACAAACAGCAACCATCTCACTTGGGAGCCTTTCCCCCAGCTCGTGTAGCACCTCTGACTTCTGCATCTGCCTCCTGTCTCCTGCCTTCATCTTGTGTCGCCTCAAGCTCTGGTGGGAAGCAGACTCTTTGCACAGAATCCACTCTGGGGTTTGCCAGGCGATCCATCCGTAGCACAGTTGCTTTGCGTGAGTTTTCTTCCACGTCTTTCAAGTGCAGCTTTCTTCACATGCCTGCAGAAATGGCCCTCCCAGTCCCTTTCTCGGGGCTAGCGTTTTCCTTTAGGGACGAGGAATTCTTCATACACACACGAATGGGTGCCAGAGATGCCCCCTTCTTAAGAGAAGCCAGGAAGAAGCTGCTCAGTGGACGGGTGAATAGATCTAAGATCAGGTCAGATGGCCATTGGCATTTTTGGCTTGTTACCTGTTGTTTCTCAGAAGTCAGAACTGCTGGAGTCCGACCGTTTGAGTCCCTGTGGCCCTTTGATGAAGCTGGGGCACCATTTATTCACTGGCTTACTCAGGTCCTTGACATGGGTAGGGCCCCAGCCCCCACACCCAGCACGGGCTCCCTTGGTGTGTCCTCTCCACGTGTCCTGGTCTGGTGTGTGCCCGTCCTTGACTCCAACTTGGGAGGCTGCTCCTTGAGGGCAAAAGCCTAGTTGAATTTGGGGAACCCCCTTCTTGATGAGAGGCTGACCCCACAGCTTCCGAGCTACTGCCCTCCTGCCGAACCTCACAAATGCCCTTTCTCTGGCCCCTAACATAGGACATGCAGGTGACGGGCGTGGAGGATGACAGCCGCGCCTTGAACATCACCATCCACAAGCCTGCGTCCAGCCCCCACTCCAAGCCCTTCCCGATCCTCCAGGCCACCTTCGTGTTCTCGGACCACATCCGCTGCATCATCGCTAAGCAGCGCCTGGCCAAGGGCCGCATCCAGGCAAGGCGCATGAAGATGCAGAGGATAGCCGGTGAGTGCTGGCCAGCCCTGGCGGCCATCCTTGGAGCCCTCGGGCTCTCACGCTGACCCCCAGAAGAGGTCACCTGGGGTCTAGGAGCTCACTGTGTTCTGGTGAAAGGACAGAAAATCTGCTCAGAATTCCCCATCCCCCAGGTGTCTGATTCCTAGAGAGCTTCTGGGGCTTCATGGAAGAGAAGGGGAATCCTCCCTAACCAAGCAGGAGGCCACGAGCGGCCGGTGTCCGTGTGGGTGTCCCACACACAGGAGTCTTCTAGCTTATCCTTAAAAACGCTTGGACATTCCCATCTTCCACCTTTGATCCTTAACCCTTAAGATCAGCAGGGGCTGTTCTGCCCACTGCTCAAAAGAGTAAACTGAGGCTCGGTGACTTCCCCCCAAAGTCACACAAGCAGCCAGTTGGCAGAACCCAAATGCAGAACTTCTGCCTCTAGAGCTCGTCTCTTCCCCCTCTCCCTCCAGCTGTCGTGAGAGGCAGCCCTGCTTGGCGAGGGGGGCCACGATGACCCAGCACTAAACTCGGAAGTCGGTGTACGCGTCATAGGCGCTGTGGCGAATTTGCAAGGAGGCCTAACGCTGCCCCTTGCAGGATGGCCCGTGCTTTCTTAGAAATCAGGGCCCTAAAACGAGGGTGTTCCATTCATCAGGGCTGACAGCATGGCATTCCCCGGGGGTAAGGCAGTCTATCAGCTTCTCAGATTATAAACAGTCGTCCTCCAGGCACCAGCGCCTCTCAGTCCAAGCACCGATGGTCATTCTGGTGTGCTCGCCGGGAGGACTTCCAGCCCACTTGGGGAGGAAGGGCGCCTTCTAAAGGGATTGCCAAAAAATAAACATTTGGCGGGCTGGGTCTCTGGATGTCACGGATTGGGTTATTGACTGCGCGTGCCCTGTTGGTTTGCCCAGGCCTGCGTCCCAGGCGGTCCCTGTTTCATTTCTCACTTAGTGGAAACTTGGCCTATGAAATCATTACAGAAGCATTTTGTAATGTGCAAAGTGACTTAAATCATTCAGCCCTTTCTCTGAGGATTTATTTTCGGAAGGTTTTTTTGTTGATGTTGTTGTTGTTGTCATTGTTGTTAATGTAAAGCAATTTCTCACCGCTGGCACGAAGGCTAAATATTTCATTTGGAAAATTGAGAATTATGCCGCAAAGTGGCTGTTCGAAGTAACGCCTTGGGTATTCCTTAAATCGATTTTAAAAAGCCCCTCCAAATTGCTCTATCATGAGATTTGTTTCCGGAAGGGAGGACAGCAACTGTGACAGATACACACAGGCTCATAAATACACGTGCACACACGCGGATAGGTTCGCCCTCACACACGCTTCCCCATGCACACGTACACATGGGAACTTTCGGGGCAGAATTGGCCCCATTTGTTCTGGGGTCTGAAATGACCCCCGTGGTGAAGCCTGGCAAGGGTCTTTCACGTGCGGAAGCCAAAGGTCCAAAGTGGAGACTGGCCAGCATCCGTGTCCGAAACCCTTGCTAGGCGCTGGCTGCGTTTTGAGCTCAGGCGTGACCTCTGGGGTCACGCCGCTCTCCCCAGCTCAAGGCTGCCAGCTCCCCACTTGGCACCATCCAAGTGATGCGCCCGGCAGAGCCGCCACCACTCCAGCTGCGGCCCACCCCGTCCAGAGCCCCGTCACCTTCACCCCCAGCCCGCACGATGAGCATGAACCACGGTGTTGTTTGAACATAGCCCTCCTGGACCTCCCGATCCAGCCGACGACCGAAGTCCTGGGGTTTAGACTTGGCTCCTCCTCTTCCACCCAGCACCTGCCTTTCCGTTTCTACGACCAGTGCCGCCGGGGCAGCAGCGACCCCACGGTGCAGCGCTCTGTGTTCGCGTCGGTGGACAAGGTGCCAGGTAAGCCGCCCCCAGCCCGCGCCGCCTCTCATCCCCTCCTGGGGGTCCGGGCTTGCTGTCCCAGGAGCCTGCGCGAGCAAGCTTCCCTTTCCCCTCGCGGAGTCCGGTCGGCTGGAAGCACCCATTTCTTAGAATCCGTCGAAGCTTAGCACAAGATGAAACACGAGCCCTAGAAATAAACCTTGGCTTTCTCTTTGGTATTCTGCCACCTGGGTTTGATTTTCCAGAGATTTTCTGGGGATGTGGAAGAACTTCTCAGAATTAAGACTGAGAAGTTTCTTGGAAATTTCTTGGAAATACTTAGATTGCTAGTAATGAGGTTGTGGGGGAGTAGTTTCCTTCTCCGTGTGGGATGACTAGAGAGATGACATGCGTGCTTCCTCTTAGAGCCCCTGGAGAAGGGAGAGCTCCCTACAGGCCGTGACACTCTCTCCCATCTCGGAGTACCTCTCCCCACTCTCTCTCAAGCTCATCTTGAAACCACCTCCCTCCCAAAAAGAGAAACATGAAGAGAAAGTTCAAAGGCAGCTTGCTTCTCCAGAAGGGCCGGGGGGCTCTCCCCTTCCTGTGCTGGTGCATCCGCCTTAAGTAAATCCACGTGCACACCGATCCCTCGAAAGAGAACCTTGCTTGCCCTTGATTACAAAACTTCCGAAAGTTGGCCAGGCTGTCCCCTGCAAGCGTTAGGGTTTCGAACTTCAATTGATAAGTTGCAAAATGTGTCTCAAAGCAGTTATCAATTTAAGAACAGCTGTTGATTTAAAGTGCCGTCGTAAGGACCTGTCCAAAATCAGGGTCCTTCTTTTCCCTTCACTCCGTGGTTGATCCTCTCTTCGTTCTTTGATTTCATTAATGTATTTTAGAAATATATATACTGTAAGTATATATGATGTTTAAAAAAAACCCAAACAGGACATGATAAAATGAGACATGAGTCACCTTTGCCCCAGAAGGAATCACTGTAAACAATTTCTTGCTTATCATTTTAGAAGTGTTCGTTTTATGCCCTTTATGTATTTTCTTGTCCGTTTTTACACACGGGGTCGTACCATATGTGTAATTCTGCACCTTGCCTTTTTTTTTTTTTCCACTTAATTTGGTGTTACATGTCAATGCATTATAGATTGACTTCACATTCATTAATAATTAACTCTTGTATGGTATTTGATTGTATGGCTGGACCAGAAAATCTTTTATATTGTGTTGCGTTGATGGACATCTGGGTCATTTCCAGTGTTTTGCTCTTCCAGTATTGTAGAGAACATCCGTGGGATGCCTTGGTGTAACCATTGCAAATCTTGAGTATCAGGGGGATAAATTCTCAGCAGTGGCTTGGCTCGGTCAAAAGGGAGCCTTTTCTTCCTGACATATGTAGTCCCAACATGCACTCTGGAAAAGTGTACCGGTTCACGCCATCACCCACTGCCTGTGACTCTTTTCATCCTTAAAACCAGTCGTAGTCTGTAAGACCGACTCTGTCCCCCACCTCTGTTTTCAGCTATGAAATGTGAGATGATTTCTGCCTCCTTCAGGGCCTGGACAAATTTTTTTTTTTAAAGATTTATTTATTTATTTATTTGAAGGGTGGGTAGGGGCCGAGGGAGAGGGAGAAGAGAATCTCAAGCAGACTCTGCACTGAGTGCGGAGCCCGACACGGGGCTCGATCTCACAAGATCATGACCTGAGACGAAACCAAGAGTCGGACGCTTAACTAACGGAGCCCCTGGAGGATTCTTTGTTAAAAAGTATCGAGTCTTCTTCACATTCTGTAGAGATGGTTGTTAAGTAAATATAAATGATGGCCATGAGTCTGGGTTAAACACAGATTGGCTTGGTAAGAAATCATTCCTTTTTTTTCATTCATTCTTTTTTTTCTACACACAGTTATAATTTATTATAACATTTCTATAAGCACTGCCTTGTGATTTTTGTCATTGAGCTATAACTGACATATAACATTTATTAAGAAATTATTTCCTTAGGGTCATTAGGATTTCATCTCGGGAGTGAACGGGTTAAGGAGGAAAACCGCGCCCCTTGTTTGCCGTTCCATCCTTTTTGGAACAAGGCAAGTGTAAATAAATAAATAGAGCCAAATGTCACATTCTTCAGCATCTGCATAATCGTGTCTCTGTTTGCAGAAGGCTTTACAATGCCTGATTGCTAACTTCTCCCACCCTGCCTGGGCTCCAGGGGAGAAGTGAGCTCATCCAGTGCTGGGGGTACCGTCCTGTCTGCCATAGCCTGGGCCTGCCTGGCAGGGGGTCCAGCATGGCTGGAACGCCTCCATCCTGTTGCTGGGCCCAGGGTTGGGTATTTGAAGTTGAGCCAGTTGAGACCGTGGCGAGGCAAAGGTAGTCGCCGAAGCTGGCCATCTGCCCCTTCCCTGTCTCTTGCCCCTGGCAGCCCCTGGAAGTGCTGCTCAAGTGCGGGGCGGGGAGTGGGACATACACCCTCATGTGTCCCCAAGGGCAACTGCTCTGGACCCTTGGGAAGAGAGGCCTTGCTGCCTTCCCGCACTGGCCTGTGTCAGAGATGGGACCTAAAGAGCAAGTGAAATCCGTGAGCCTCGGCATGACTCAGACGGAGGGAGGGGAGCTCTCCCCACCCTGCCCTTCCTCACCACCTGCTGTCTCAGTAGCCTGCCCCACAGCCACCCTCACCCTCGATCATGTAGGACTATCTACGGTGTGTTTAGACATCCAGCCTCACCTCTTCCCTTTTGGCCAGAGAGATCTTTCCAGAACACAGATCACACCGTGCCCTTTCCTGCAACCCTCTAGCAGCTTCCCGTTGCACTTGGAATACAATCCAAAGCTCTCACTCTGGTCTTGTGTGGTTGTTGTGAGATTGGCCCCAGCTGGCCTCTCAGGTGCAGCCCCCCCCCCACTTCCTTCTGTCCCATACCCCAGCTGTACCAGCCCCTGCTACTCCTTTGAGTCATGGCTCCTCAAAGTTTTGGCCTCGGGATCCCCTTTAGATTCTTGAAAAAAGTACCAAGGATCCCAAAGAGGTATAGCTTATATCGATTATATTTATTAGTATTTCAGGTAGCACAAATTAAAATAGAAATAAACTTTATTCACATATTTTTTAAATAAAACCAAACTCCTCACACATCACATGTAAATATAAATAACAGTTTTTAATGAACAATAACTGTTTTCCAAACAAACAAAAAAAAACCCATAAAACACAAAACCTCATGTTTTATATTTTTGCAAATCTCTGTAATATCTGGCTTAATAGAAGGCAGCTGGACTCCTGCATCTGCTTCTGCTTTCAGTCTGTTGTCATAGCATATGTTTTGTGCCCTCTGGAAAGCTCCCCCATACACTCCTGGGAGAGTGAATGTAAAAGGAAAACGCTGTCTTACTATTTTTATGTGAGTAGTTCTGACCCTGGAAGGCCCCCAGGGTTCCCCAGACTATGCTTTGAGAACCACTTCTCCAAGTCACTGGCCTCTCTCCTGCTTTAGGGCCTCCTCATTGGATGTTCTTCCCCGGATCTGTGTGTGGCTGCCTCCTCCTACTGCACAGGCCTCAGTCTGCATGCCACCTTCTCCGAGAGGCCTTTCCTGATTCACCCCTCCTTCCTCCATCTCATTAGCCTGATTTATTTTCTCTGTAGTTCTTTACCTGGATGACCTATTTGGGTACCCGGCTGCCGTCTTCCTAATGGAGAAGACCGCTCCCGTGGAGAGCTGGTCTGTCCTGTTTATTGCTGTACCTCAGCACCTAGCTTTATGCCTTCATTCAGTATTTACTAGTTGAAGGATGAGCCCACACTTGTGCTTTGCACAGCTTGGCGCAGTTCCCACTGATGCCTTCTTCCTGCGTGAACACCAGAAAGACGAATTCTCTCTGGGGCCCTAGACCTTGGATTTTTTAGTCTGTGGCACTTGGACTAGGGAAGGGACACCAGGGAATGGAGCCCCCAGAAGAGCTTAAGCAGAATTTCCTCACCCTCAACTTGGAAGTTTTCAAAAAACCAAAGTGTGGGCCCGGGGTGGGGGTGGGGGGTGGGGGTCACCGGAAGCACAGCCTAGGTTGGCCTCTGATGCCACGGCATCCACCGCTGCTGTATGGGCCCATGAGTGCACCCTTGCCACTCCAGCGCACTCTGGGAATGGTCTTGCTCTGTGTCCCTCACCCTAGGCCACACAGCTGCAAAACCCCGGGCCATGTGGGACCGACACTCCAGCCTGGGGGATAATTCCCGGTGGAGAAGACAGTTCTGGCCGCCTGCCTCGGGGTGGCGGCTGGAGGAGCTAACTCCGTTATGACGTATCTTCCGATGTCATCCACGGCCCAGGTGGTCATCACAGAGCCACTTGCCCCCCCCCTTTACAAGCTGTAAATGATGATATTTGATGAAAATGTACCCTCCATTTCCTTGGAAGAGATACTAAAGTAGAATATAAATCAGGCCTCTTAGCTACTGTGGTATATTTTTCTTTTTTCACTGGGCTTGGAGAGAAATCATAAATTCTCTGTATTGGCCAATTTTAGATTCATGGCTCTTGCCCCTGCAGAGTGTCCTACTCCAAAGGGTAGAGGCTTGGGTGCAGGCCTGGCTGGGGCGTCTCGGGCATCAGCAGATAGTGTGTCCAGGTGCACAGGCACGACCAGCTCTAGACTCGGCCTTTGAGATGCAGCCTTCCGTGGTTCGTGCCCTCAAGGACTTGTCCCAACAACCCACAGTGACAGCTGACTGCTGGAATCTGCCAAGGGAGGCAGGGTGTCCAAAACTAGACCACTGAAGTCTCTTTCCACAAACACCAAGTGGACCAGAAGCTGTTCCCGAAATTGCCCCAGGGCGGGGGTGGTGGCGGCGTGGGCAGCAGTCTCCAGACAGAGGGTCAGGGCTCTGGCCTCCCGGGGCAGCCTTGACCCGCCACTCTAGAATCCTTCTGGCCCAGAGGCCACTCATAGGTGTTCACCTTGCAGGTCATGGTGACGTGGAGTGGGCAGAACACCGCAGTCCCTCCTGCTCAGGCC